AAAGGCATACTGAAAATAATTCAGCTATTATCTCAAAGATTTCTTAGCTATTACCCCATTATAATAAATCGACTCGTGCGTGCCAGCTGGTGCCATAAACCGAATGATTCGCAGCGATTTTGAATCGAGATGCATTGAAGTAAAATTTCACGGTGACGCATACGCGCGTGCGTTTGTGGACCGTCCATCTAGCGTAAAGCGTGAAGCCACCTCGCATTCAAGCTTGAACGCCATTGCGGCAGCGTACCGGCGCGAAAACGTTTATTTTCAGTCTACCTTTACAGCAGGCGGAAGGGACGGCACATATACATGTACATATGTAGTCGGCGGTTTCGCAACGCGCGGTTTCATCCGGCGAGGAATCAACGAATGGAAAATAACGTGTTTTCGATGTGCAGTATACAACATATATATTTCAATCGTGCAAAAAACGGATTAATTCACTAATCGATATACAGGAGAGATTAAGTCATTTTAGTTTGCTGCATTATTTATCGCGCCGCGCGAGTTATGCAAATAATGTTTGATTGCTTTTATCGGACATGAAATATTCTATAACTATCTCGATACATCTATTTTTGCATATATTTTCCTGAAATGCAAAACGATTATTCTTATTTAAATATTCTTGTTTAGCTGCATTCTACTGGACAGTTCGTCCAAAAATAAAACCGTTTATCCAATTTTAGTGACATTTACTATATTAAATTAGCGGTATATAATCGCACATATATTGGGTATCTTTTCCAATTAATATTTGAGTATTTAGGGCATCATTCATAATTGAAGTACTTGATTGAAGAGGGATGACGCATCGTCGTGAGAAATGTGCGTGCAACCGTCGTGGAACGCACCGTATTATTGCGAACAATCAAAAACGTAACTCGTGCACATCGCACTCTTGTCGGAATTACCTTCGTCTTTGCCTTCGTAAACTTCCGTTATACACGCGACGTAATCCTTCCTCAAAAGCGCATCGCGAGAGCGACGCGAAAGGAATTGCTGAACGTAGGTAGTCTAAATCCTGTAATGCGTCGCGGGTGACCTAGATTCGTGATCGCCGCAACATCACCTTCGTGTCCTTTATCGCGCACGCGGACATCCTGAACGAATATGCGGCTTTAAATCCAGCAGTGTAATTTTCTAATGCAATCACTTTGACCGACATTTATGACGAATGGTCTCGCAATTTTAATTTTGACTTCGCCAGTGATGAATCCTCCAATAAGAATCTCCGGAGTAAATTTTTAATTTGAAAATTAACGTGTTCGTTATCTATTCTGGCTAGCTAAATTTTAATTAACAGAAAGGACCTTTCTCTTCTATCATTTTTTTTTGTAGTAAGTAGATACTCTGAAAATTAGGATCGCGCATATTTAGAAATCTCCTGATAAGTCTGATATATACCTGAGTGAAAGATATTAGCGATAAAATACGGCGACCTTGATTTACATGAGGAGAACACGCAACCGTCAATCTTAGTTGTACCGGCCATTGAGTCCCGGTCAATTAATCAATTCGCTATCTAACGTGACTCAACGAACGTAATGCGACGAAAACATTTTTTATTTATATCAGAGAAACGCTCGAATCTTTTTTTTTCTTTCTCTCCAAGATTGGTTAACTGTGGCCTCGAGACATTGTTCAAGGTTCGTTGGCGAGGGTCCATGGTGAAATATGACGTAATTCTCCGCGAGTCCAGAACGTATATACAATGAGCGATTAAATGTTAGCATATAAAACTGGACGATGAACGCATCGTAAGTCGAGTTAATAAAGTCTTAGCGATGTTATTAGATAGTGCGACAAACTGCTGTTACAGACTTCGAGGAATTTAAGCGATGCTGCAGCGACCGGTTATGTTGCTTATCATCTCGAATTTTATACGTCATTTTATTTTCGTGCTTTAATCGTCATGATAAAAATTATATATAAACTTTAATTTAAATGTGATTTTTAAATTTGCAATATTTTGAAAAAAAAGATTATCCTATACGAGTTAAAAAGAAATTATCGTTTCTTAGCTATATTATATTTTGATTATATTTTTACGCGTATTTACTCGATTTATAGATTTCTTTGAGATTCGGCAAGACGAGAAATGATGATACGTTTGTGAAACTGAAACATCAGCAACATTCATAGCATATGACATCACGAGATCAGGAGAAATGAAATAACTCGTCCCCGAATTATACGCTCAGCGAATACAACATGTGCTGCTCTTGTCACGACACATTTTTAAAGAATAAAGAAACAACGTTTCCGCACGAAAGTATTCGTTAATTAGTATAAGAGCCTGGACTTAATTTCAGTCATAACGACATATATATATATATATATATATATATATATATATATATATATGTGTATCTGAAAAAATATCGTATTTTATGAAAAATATAAAATTACAGTATGTTAAATTTTACCCTTATCATTCACATAATTTTTCTATATTTTATATACTTTTTTACAGTCAGTACAGATACTTTTTCTACCGACTAATTCCACCTACTTCTACAAAATATATATAATTTGATGCAAATATATCTATATGATACACTGTATGCGCGTAATTTGAAATACAATTATAAAAATGTATATTTAATAGATACGAATATACTTGTTGCAAAAAGCGCGAAAATGCAAATATAGTATTTAAAAATGCACAAAAGATAAGATAGAATTAATATATTATGGAAGAATTATATACATATAAGTCAAGGTAAATTTTAGAATTTAAAATAGCATAAAAGAAATTAATAGAATTGAATCGCTTATTGATTCACATTCTTCTCCTCTCGATTTATATCATAACCGATTTTCTATCCTTAGATAATATATTTATCTTGCCCAAATTCTGCCATCGTACCAATTTGCTCTCATCGTCCTTGCTTAAATAAAATAAAGAATCTAAATCTATTACCTTGAAGCTATTGAGATAGTTAATAGTTTCGCATTTTACTTTACTGATATTTTCCACATGAAGCACGATTGGTTGTTTTAACGATGTAACAATTCACCCGAACAGGAAGAAACAGCAATTAATGAAGCAGTTTATATCTCTATTCAATAACCTTTTTGTTCCGTGAGATTATGCGCGCTCGCTCGATTTAGAATTTTTTTGCTTCTTTGCCGAAAAGAAGCGTGTAGGATCTTCGAAGTCGTGAACACACGAACACGTATGTTCGCTATTCACTTGTGCCGTTACCTTCGCGGTAGCCTACGTCCTAGAGTAACCGTGACCTTTGAGTCACAACAATCGGTCGGTCAGCTCGTCTTAATGGTCGCTTTGCATGCTAATACGCTCGACGTAACGATTTAGCGACAAAGGCATTTTTTTGCACTCTCGACGCCTCCTCAGATGCACCATAAATAGGACCTCATAAAAATTGCGCGATTTATAAACAAATGATGTTGCGAGTGATATCACACTGTTCCGGTTGTGAAATATTCAATAAAACATATTTCGAGTTGTTCAGTTATTTTGAATATTATTCCACGTATGTTTGTAAAATGAAATTAAAGAAAATATTCAAATGTATTTATATAGTTTAAATTTATAGTTTGTATCCAAATGTCTTCTGAACAAAGAACCCAAAAGTAAAATGTGATATATAGGCAAAAAAAAGGAGAACTTAAATAAAATTTTATTCACATGAATAATCATAAGCTTAATATACTACCGTAGATATCAACTCTGATGCAAAATAAAATAATTTAACGTATTGTTTAAAACTATCGTGCAATGCAAAGTCATCGAGATATTTTTCCTATTAGCACAAAAATATTAAACCAATGGAGCATTCGATTTTATTGATATTATTCTTCTCGAAAGATACTCATTGTCAGATATTTTCATAATACCCGAAATAAACTGAATAATCATCCATTAAATAATGTTAGATGTAGCAATTGCAACTACTATCATGTTGTTCTCTTTCAAGTTGTTAGCAATAAACATTTTAACTAACTCGTGAAACTAATTCGCGAAGAATATTAAATGCGTGAGTGCAATTGTACTAAACCCTCTTTTCGTACTTTATTCACGCAATCGAAATTGCGAACTGACATGCGGCAAAACAGTCAAATGCGAGCCCGTATATGCTGTTAGATGCCACGTATACATACGAAGCCTATTATTTGCGATAATACTACCCATTTCCCTTGTCTCGTGGCCAAAAATACATATGTTCGTGACGAACCAATGCGCACATCATGCAGTACTTTAAAAACTTTCGATGTTACGTGATACAACCAAATTTTTAAAATATATAATTTTATATATGAGTATTTTTATGACCTTGACAATATAACACTTTCTGTGCGCGATTATAATAGAATATTATTTTTTATCTGATTTTGTTTTATGTAAATTTGTATAAACTTTACCTTTTTTACCTTTCATTTAACACGCAAAATTACGATAAGACATCGTATTACGAAAGATTTTTTACAATGTATAAATTAGTGAAATTAAAAGAGATAAGTATTCAACATGAAAACGGAAAATTTTCTGATATATTATAGATAATATTGAAACACTGAGAATGATATAAGCTTATATATATATAAGTAACTCTCTTGTTTATTTCACAAAATCTCAAAGAAAGTTTTTATCGAGAGGAAAAAGAAAAACTTCACAATTATATGTTATATATATATTTTATATTTTTTTGTATTATACTTATTGTTTGTGTGTTAAAAATGAAATAAATATATATTCAAACATTAAAAAATGTAGTGAAGTTTATAGAAACGCTGCATTTATCTAGAGCTAACACTGATTAAAAAACTTTATTCTTTTACTTACATTATTTTAAGAGAATGTAAAGAAAAGAGACGTGAAATCATTAAAAGCAAACTTGTTTAATTAATTGATATTGTCACAATCGATTCCTAACACACGGTAATATATATATATATATATATATATATATATATATATATATATATCATTCTCGGTGTTTAAATCAAGGAAAAATTCATCACAAACTCACCTGCTTTCCGGCGCGTGGTAACGTCTCCACATTAGTACCGCCGACGACGGGTGCCTTCTCCAGTCCGCCGTTTTGCTGGCTGACGTTTATGTTGGCGTTAACATTGGCGTTAACATTATTGGCGTTGTCGGTGACGTTTGCGTTCATGTTTGCTCCAGTTGTAACATCGCCGGCGCCGGTACCGCGCTTTCCGTTCTCGCCCGTCATCCTTTGGCCGCTTTGTCGATTCACCCTCTCGTCGTCTCACACCCTCGTCGCAGCCACCGCTGCCGCCGCCGCCACCGCTGCCGCCGCCGCCACCGTCACCACTGCCGTCGCCGTTCTTGTTTCCCCCACCCCGTTGATACTTCCGCTCGTTAATTTTCAACGTCGATCCACGGTGCGGAATCCTGATATCTGTGTGACCGATCGAATCGATCAGAGAGAAGCGTGGATCAAAATGCGAAGTTTATCGATAACGCGTAATTTATCTCAGCGAGCCCTCGATTCCCGCGAGCTTTCGTTCCTCGGGACGCACGAAATTTAAATTTACTAATAGAGCAATCTTGACTTATTAATAGAAACAATATACGGGCAATTTATCTCGTTCGAAATCTTACCAATATCTTTCTCTCTCTCTCTCTTTTTTCTTTCTCTCTCCCTCTCTCTCTTTCTTTATCTATCTATCTATCCATCTATCTATCATCTATCTATCTATCTATCTATCTATCTATCTATCTATCTCTCTATATATCTTTTTAGACCATATAACTTAAAGAGCTTATTTAGATATTCATATTTAAAGCAAACATAAAATTATATTATTCGATCCACTCTAATTTTGAATCTATAATTGTTAAAAAGTGAAAATCTTTAAGAATAAAAGATATAAAGTATAAGAATACGTTTCATCAGGCAACCATAGTCGAATTAGTTGTTTCTCGAGGAGAATGCTATTTTTAGTCTCCATGGAACGATACGGGTGGTATAACCGTACATGACAAAACAATTCAAGCGCATTGCGATCGTCGTCCTAGCATTCGCTATTCGTTAAGATAAAATCGATCGAGGCAGAGAATTTTGCCCAAAGTGTAATCTTATCGTTAACACTATCAAATACACCAAAAAGCCAAAAGGACAATTTCAAAGAAACGTCTTGTAGACATCTCGACAACGCTTCAGATATTTATGTGTGGTACAGAACGCAGCTTTTTTTAGAACGCTCTATATGTCACAGCACTTTTTTATTTTCCAAAAGATCTTTTTTCAACAGCTAATCAACGCGTTCGTTATTTTTAAACGTAATAACGATAAAAGCGAGGACCGACCTTTCCGAGCTTTTGGGCGGGAACGTGAGATACCTTCGTCCGGAATCGCGAGTGCTTCGACAAGGACCGAGGGACGAACGGGGAGCCAACGTCATACCGACGACGATGACATCCGTCGTCGCGTGTAATTGCGAATATTCCGGAGCAAAATAAGCAACGATCGCACAGCTGGCGATCCGCGGGAACCTGAGGAAATGTACGAGCGAGCCTAAGCCCGCGCACGGTCGACGGTAGAACCACGGGGAAAATCGATTCGAGCGTGTCCGTTCGAGCACTGCGCGCTTCTCGGAGCCGCAGCGATAAAAGCGGCGCGACGTTCTCCGGCTTTACGACGGAATATTCGACAACCTCAGCATTTCTCAGCATCCAACGATGCTCATTATTATTTCATAAAATATTGTTTTAGAGAACATTTCCCTCCGGGCATTGATTTAATCCCTTATAACCTTCTATCGGCCTCGCACACACTTACTACGTTTTAAATTCAAACGATTCGTATGTTTCAATCTGGCCTAATTTTATTTATTTTACTGCATCGAGCATACATAAATAACTATTTTATCTATTTTATTCGTACTGTGTGTACATAACTATTTAAAAATGAAACAATTATTTTAGAATATTACAGACTATGAAAATAGAGTAGAATAAAGAAATGACAACAAATATAACTCGAGAAATATCTCTTTGTAATTCAGAATTTAAAAGTAAGACACTAATTTTAAAAGACTGATTTTGGAACATACGAAAATTTAATCTAACTGAATATAAAAGAGAATCTTTTTAATTTGGAAATTGTACAAAATGTCATTAAAACAAAAATTTAAAAAATATCTACTCGTAGTAGATATTTCACTATGCATTTGCTATCGCGGGATAATTCCTTAATGACAGTAATTTATGGATGCTTCGAATTATCGGATCGAACCGGATTGCGAGTGGTCTTCGGTAGGAAACGGGAAAAACTGGTAAACGCGCAAAAAAACGCAATAGTATATATCCCGCGAGCGGATCCGCAATTATTAAACCAGATTCCGTTGTTATTTATACGCGCACGAATATATATACATACAAACGTGTATATACGCATACTGGCGTAAACGGTGTCCGATCTGATGATCTCCGACGTGGTACATTTCGCGGACGATCGATCTCTCGAATCCTTTTCTCGGCATTTTAGCCAAGAAGTTTACCGCGGTTCGATGACGCGCGGCGCCTCGAATCCGCACGATTATCGAACGATTACGTACATTCGAACGCCACCCCGTACGCGAGTGAATATAGCGGCAATGGGGAAAAAGACAAATAAAAGGGAGAGAATAAGAGAGAGAAAGAGAGAAAAAGAAGAGGCACTAACCAGGATTACACGCAGGGTTGCGCGAGGCGGATGCCTTCGAGTCCACTAGTACGAGAACCACCGCGAAAGTATTTTAATAAGACACTTTTCCCATCGAGCGCTTCCTTCCTCACTTGTCAAATCACACGGCGGCGCGCCATCATTTCTCGTTGTGCCGTCGCTGTGTCGTCGTTGCGTTTTGCTTCCTCACATCGACCGGCCGCCGCGGACCGCGCGCGCACACACACGTATATAACTCGTCTCCGCGAATCGCGCGACAAAGAAAGCACTGAGCGTAATGCAACCGCCCTCTCCGACACTTCGCACGACTTTGAACACTGCGCACGTCTGCGCCGCCGTCAATGGCGACGCCGCGCCCGCCGCGACACCTACCAGCCGCGCCGCGAATCACTAGACGTATCCATCCATTATTTTTAAATTGCCAGATTCTCACGGTCAATATATACATATAAAAAAAAAACAGTGACGAAAATGTCGACTTCTCACCTGATAAATAACATACTTTTAATGTTTTTAATTTTAATTTCAAAGTCAATATATGTATATAAGAACGTATGACTTATATACAAAATGTGTTTTTTTTTATTTCTTATGATTTTCACAAATGACAAGTTTAAAAATAAACGATATATTATATTAATACAAATAAATTTTCAAAATATTTCTTTACAAATGTTGTATTTCCTTTGGTAACTTTAAAGATGTAACTAACTCAAACATCTAATAATTTCCAATTTGAAATTGATTATTATATATATAAAAAAGATGAGATTCATGTATCAAATATATATAAAATAACTATGTTAGACAAATATATATATATATATATAAACATTTAAATATAACGATTTTATGTTATATATATATCTGTTTTTTTGATTAGATAAAGAAATTACGTTATTGTAGTACATAAATCACAAATTATCCGTTACTTTCTATTATTTTAATTATAAGATGTAAATGTGCTGTCAAATTTGGTTTTCTATAATTACATTCCATTTATAAGTATTGTTGCAATATGTACAAATTCACAAATAAGTTTTTTTAACATTAATAATTTATAGTATTATTATAATTCCAAATGAAATATTTTTCTTATCATGTGATAAAATCATTTTCAATAACGCTTAAATAACAAAAATTAATAATTAGCAAATTAATAAAATATATCTTATATTAATTAAAGTTACATATCATGAAAATGGGAAAATGTTAAAAACTTAACAATAGTTGTTATAAAAATACATACATATGTTTAAAGTAAAATCTATGTCGTTTAATATATAAATATCGTAAAATTAATTTCATCATTACATATGACACATACAATATAAAATTCAACACATAGATCTTAAAAAAAATACATATATATGTATATAACATACTTTTTGTGTGTGTACCAAGATTATATTCCTTTGGCTGATTATGATTTTTATGTAAATAACAAGTTTAAAAGATAAATAATACCATTGATATAACACATTTTCAAAACACTTTCGTAATGGTATCGTTAAACATGTGCTGGTATTTTTGTAATATTTTTTGTTGTCACTACTACGTCAATAATCAAAAGACAACATTAATATTAATATATATTCAATACAAATATCATACGTCCAATGTTCTATTATCTCTTAATAAAGATAAAATATACATCATTTACAAATAGAGCTTGTATCCTAATTCCTGTACAATTATATGTAAGATACTAGTAGATAAATCCAGTTACAATATCGTTTGTGTAAAAAAATATCTCGTTAATAAATAAAATATAATAAGTGCAATTAACAGATTATATAGAAGGAATATAATTTTAATAATTGATATAAGACAGAAATATCTATGAAAAAATGTTTTAAGAAATTCAGTTTGTAAGATTTACAAGATATTGATATTACACAGACGATATAATAGACATGAGAATGTAGTAGAATATGTACGAAAATATTTGTTCAAAGGCGATTTATATATTATATAGAACATTATGGAACATATGATTACAGGTGGTTTCACGAAGTATCACCTATGTCTTACATATAAAGATGATGGAAACGTGTGTACATCCTTGTTATACATGTATTTATGTGAATTAATCGGTACGCGCATATATAATAAAAATTACAAATTTAATTATAAAAATATAAAGGTTGGCTAGATACATATATATATATATAGCAAACCTAATTATAATATAAAAAATATCCGCATCAAAATTACCTGCATGTATGTACTTTAAATTATAAATAATTCGCAATACAAAAGATTTTTAATTATGTCTAATATTAATTCTCATTAACTTGTTTTCTGTTTATGTACTTTCTTAAACAAAAATATTATTAATGATGTGTTGCTGTAAAATTTCTAGTTTTTACTTCTTGTATGCCACTATTACATCCATCGATCTTTGCATGTTTCTCAAGCTGCTTTTTAGTAAAGAAACGCGTACCACAGACATTACATTTTAATTTAGATTGTGTACCATGATGTATCATGGTGTGGAATTCTATTCCTGTCTTATTAGAAAACACTTTACCGCAAAAATAACAGGCGTTAAGTTTATGTGTAGACATATGAGTGCGAAAGTTGCGAATTTTTATAGGTTTTAAACATATGCTACAAGTTACTAAATTATCAGTCTTTGGATGTAATCTGGATTTATAATTATGATAAGAAAGATTCTTTCCATTTGTATAAGCCTTTTTACATTTATGACAGGGATAACCAAAACCTAAATGATAACCTTCGTGTAAGGCTTTAACTTTAATAGAAAGTTTTTCGTTACAAAACCTGCAAGGCATATTCTTATGCTCTAAATTAATATGTTGTAATCGCGCTTTAGGATTTGAAAATCGTTTGATACATAAGTAACAATGATACGCCTTATCAAAATGTTTGACTCTCATATGTTTATCATATTCATTGAAACTATTTAATACATCCTCACAATAGAAACACAATAACTCTAGTGAAAATTCATCAAATGGTCTCCCCTCTTTAACAGTACATTGATGATTATTGTATGAATTAATTGTTTCGAAGTGTTTGTTACAATACCCACATACTGATAATGGATTTGTCATATAATTCTGTATTCCATCATTCAAATCATCATCATCAAACTTCTCTTCAACTTTCTCTTCATTTTGACGTCGTTTATTTGAAGATCGTAATTTTCTCTTATTTTCTTGATGTATTTCCTGATTTTTAATCTGGCTATCTTCAACCTGGCTATTTTTTTGACTTTCATTTTCTACTGCATTCTTAGATTTATGTGCAAAAACGTCTAGAACATTTTTACACATTTGTCTCAATGTACAGATTTGATCAGAAACTTGTTTATAATTTTTCAAATTTTTTACACCATTCTGCCTATTTGACCTTTTATCATCTTGCCATGTAACTATTTGCTCTGATGTATTATTTTTATCAAATTTAATTTGTACATCATCTTCGATATCAATGATTACGTCTTCATCTGCGACTTGTAACTTTAAAAAGCTGTGATCTTTACTATAATTAGATTTAGAATTATCTGATTCTTTTTGTTTGTTAATACATAAATTAACAGACTCTTTGGTAGTGTGATCAGATGTATTAGATAAATTATTTTCTTTAAAATGGATTTCAGACTCTTGAAATTTATCCTCAATATTATCTTTTCCAACAATTTTATAAGAATCATTTAGTTTTTTTATTGTTATGTTAATACCAATTCCAGAATCATTACTGACATTTGTATGCTGCGACAGTGTATCTTCCTGTTTATATAACTCACAGATTTTTTTATGAGTAAATAAAGTATGAGGATTTCGAAATGATCTTCCACATAAACAAATGGTTTCATTGTTCTTGCCAATTTCTCCATTGTATCGGATTGCTTGATTAATCTTGGAAATTTTGTCATTTTGATTAAATGTCTCATTATTTAATTGTACATTATTCATGCTATTGCTTGTATTTCTCACAGTTGACATTATGGAAGACTGTAATAATTTATATTTCTGATTGAAAGGTGAATTATGATATCTACATTTGACATTATGGATATTTTCTTTAGTTTCTCCACGAAAAATATGATTGCGTCTATGTTTGTACAAACCACGAGGAGATGCATATACTCCCAAACAAATATCGCATTGGTATGTCTGATTGGTATGATTTAAAGATATTTGTTTCTGTGTTACTGCAGGCCCATGCCGATTAATTATATAACGCTCGTTGTTCAACTTGAATCTTTTTTTAGCAGTGTTATAAGATAATGTATATTTTCGTTTTTTCCTAACTTGAGATTTTTTATGAGTATCGGCTTCATTATCCATTATGCGAAATCCACCTTGCGTATTCATTTTAGGTTGTGGAGATTTTTTGGAGGATACATTTTCTAATGTAATTTTCTCATCTTTGGATGCTGCATTTTCAATTAATAATGAAGATTCCAGTTGTTCCACCATACTTGAAGAACCACCAATTTTATGATAATGAATTAAATGTTTTCTTATAGATGTTACTTTCTGTTGACACAATGTGCATTTGACAAACTTCCTCAATGCTGGAGTTTTAGTATCGACAACCTTTGTCTTTGCATGTGGATTTTTATCATTATTAAGATTTTCAAAATCATTACTTTCCTTATTAAGCAAAGTAACTGGATTGACTTTATCGATATCTTTCTTAGGCAATTGTGAAGTATTTTTGACACGCTTACGGTTGATGAGTAATGGAAGAGTAATCCCATGTACTCTGTCTGAATGCTTTCTTAAAGATCGTCTTTCCAGGTATTGCTTACCACATATACTGCAAGGATATAATTTTCTTGTTTTCAGAACAGAAAATTTGAAAGGTACCGTATTATGACTTCTTAATGTAGGTTGATTCATGATGCGTGATTTAGGTTGTTTTTCTATAAACTTTTCCGAACATTGTATTTCTTCCTCTTTATTTTCTTGAGTATCATCATTGATTGGTTTGTCAGTTTGTATAACCTTTATCAATTGTAATGTTTTCCAAATTTTATCACATCTTTCTAACAAAACAATTGGATTCTTTATCGTAGGTATAGATATTGGAATAGAAAATGATGAGGCTTCGTCCTATAATAAAAAATAAAATACATTATTTCTAAATTTCTCTAATATTAAAGTTAAATAAAAAAAAACTATATCATATAAAATTATAATTATGTGATATTTTGAACAAAAAGCAAGATTTAGCTATAAGATATATAATCAAAAGATGTGATGTGATTTCATTTTCCTAATAATTAAAAATTAGTAATAATAACAATTAATTTTTCATTTATTGAAAAAGAACTGATTATGCAATATGCAAGTCAATTATGCAAATGTATGATAAATAACATTCAACATGTCATAATTCAAAGTAGTAATATATATAACCAAAATGGTCAAGCAACACAACATGAAAAACGCGGTAAAGTATGGCTATCAATTTCGGCAATTTCGAGATTTTCGAGTAGTATTTTCAAGTATTTTTTTCCAAAGACGTAATGAACAAAGTTGAATAATATTCCAATTTCGATGCAAACACGTGATGTACCCAAATGATATGCTACACTATAACGCAATATTCACAATTCCCTCGACTTACAGATGCCAGTGAGTCCTCGTCGATCGAATTATGTAGATTAGAGCATGGTTCTTGTTTGCATTGAATTTCAAAATCGGTGAGCAAAGGAGGCGATTGCGGTGACGCCGTGTAACTACTATCATCGCTCTTGTCCCCGTGGATGGTGGTGGTGTTGTCGGCCATCCCGAGATAGGGTACAATCTGTAGAGACACGTTTTGGTTGAGTATTTTACAAGTACACTGGCAATGGTTGGCAATGGTTGGCAATGCTGTCTATTCTGTCTCTACTTGTCCCTGTTTGAGCGTCTCCTTCCCATCTGCTGAAAACCCTGTATGCCCCTTTCTCTACACTTTTCTCGATATGGAAATTGAATGCTATGAAAAAGCCTACGATATCCCTCTATTTCTATCGCGTTATGATTATACTGTCCTCTCCTCGTAGTCACTCGTATCGCGTCTATTCACATCCTCATTGGACAAAGAAGGACGGATTTGTTATGAGCATTTTAACCCGGCCCAACCTCAACCACTGGCACTATAGTCACTGATGAACCGGTAGTAACGCTGGACAGTGCTGGACGTGGTACTGACCCAAAGGGTACCATATGGATACCACATGGCATTACATAACAATTGGGCCTGTTAGCTTCGACTATACACATACTTTTGTTCAGTCTACGCTTATACTATCAAATCTATTAAATTTTAATAGAATAAGAAAGATAGAAACAGCATAGAATGTAGATTTTACATGCACAAACTTAACAGTGTAAATTAACAAGGATGATAATTAATCCTCATCCATAGAAATGCCAATCAATTGCGTACAAAGGCTGATTAATCATTCATTATAAAAAAATTCTCTAATACATCTCCAATTTCCATATATGTACGTAACCCAATATCGGTAGATTACGGTATAATTAATAATTATTAAATTCGTTAGCAAGAAGCAAAAATTAAGATGTTACAAAACTATCGGGATGAGTAGAATGAGATTTCCTTAAAACAATAATAATTTTTGCAATTTTGCCATATATTTTAATTGAAGTGTATTTTAGACTACATGTTTTAAAAGTTAGCTACCAAATAGTCACAATGATTGATTTTACTGTAATGATTTAAAATGAATTTAAATGTAAATGTATATGATTTTTTTCAGATTTCTGTTATAAATTATTAACGAATAAAAGAGAATTAAGATTATTTATTAGAAGCGATGCTGAAGATTAGTCAGCATATCTGACGCATCTTGGATTCTCGTCAGCTGATGATACGCTATAGTTATGCTGACGTCGTTTCCGAATATTGATTTAAGATATATAGAAAAGCGACACGTAGCAATATATATTACATAGCAATCAATAAAAAATTCAACAAAAATGTAACTTAATCTTACAAAGTTGTGGATATATTCTAGTAAAATTTAAAGCTGTTAAGAACACAATTTTGATCTGATTGACCTAATCTTTTATTAAGATAATTTTCCTTAATTACATAAACGGTTTCAATTGTTGTATAAAATGTCATCAAGTGATTTTTTTTCATAATTTGTGTAACCATGTTTAAAAATGAATAAGCAGAATTTATTTATTAAAAATCTGCTTACATAGACATGTTTAAGTTATGTTTAAGTCAGACAATATATTATTAATTAAATAATTACGTATTGCAAATATATAAAAATTTCTAAAAATCCATAGCTTTATTAAAGGATGTTATTAAAATCATACAGATGGGATTATTAGAGATGCAATTGTTTTGTTTGACCAATATAGTTATTAAATCAATATTGGTAGGCTAAAACTAATTGTAAAATATTGATTGATCTGCGACAACATTGTAAATAGGTTTCTTGAATATATTCCGACAAAAACACAACATGACAAATAGAGTGGTATTACAAATATGTTCTCATGTTCTTATCCAAATCCAAATTTTTTGCAACTAAAATATATAAAATCAAAAAACATTTCAGCAGCAAATTTTTAAGAAGTAATAGGCATTTATAGTTATTGTTCCGTCACTGTATGCTACTACGTGATTGGATGATACAGACTCGAGAATTTTGGGCGAGTCTATGTTTGGAAATAAGCTAAAATATTCGTGTAGAATTCTTTTTATATATATTCTACTTAATTATTCATGTGCTATTCATATGTATTTGAAACCAGTCTTTTCCCGTGCAATAATCTACTTATTGGAACGCAGTCAGCTCTTCTACATAACATAACCCAACCACACACATATCCACAATATTGTAGCCTCTACAAAACTTGGGATTCGTACATTGCATATAACATGTATATAAATTGTCCTATCATATAATTTGATTCTATATTGAAGTATATCTATGATTAATCGCTAAACTTGTTTACCTGATACCTTTGATGAACCAGTGATTGATCCGATATGCCGTTGTATGATACAGACCAACTGCACCATCGGATTCTGAATGAAGTATCGTGCAACGTCGATGTCCGTTGTCTTCACAGCAGACTCATGCGCACTATAGAGAACTTTTTGGAAGACAAAGATACGTGGCCAAGTAGAAATAGTTTGAAATACTAATATTCGAGGCGTATAAAAGCGAAAGGTGACGAGAGAGTTGCGATCGTAGTGTTTCCAACCGCTCTGGATGGGTCCACTTTCACATCTGGTACATACAGCAGATCAAACAACTTTGTTTCAACTGGCTATGATTTCGCGTCTATAGAATTAGTACCCGAAAAACTAGCGAGTTGAGCGATTATCTAGAACGCCAGGTACTTCACTACAACCCAAACAATTTATTAGATTAACAATCAATTGAATCTTGTTAGAAATGTACAAACAATGATTGAGAAAAACGCATTATTTCAAACTCTATTCGGTTCTTTTTGGTACTTCGTAGCTAATAAGTGCACAAAGATTAATAAGATTTTACAATAGGCAATATATAACTTGTAGTACCATTTTGTACCTCCATCATCAAGAGTTATACGATCGATTGTGCTACTTTACTTTAATAAATTTTAGTTTATTAATCTTAGACTCATGTAAAGTATTTCATTCTTATTACATTTTGTACCAATTAATATTCTGCTGTAATGTTTTCATTCCATAAGGTGTTTGCGCTGAGATACATGCACGCATGACGTATCCCGAATACGGTCGTGTAGACTTGTATATAAAAATTCTCTTGATCTATCTCTCGTATCCATAGTTTATTCAAAGCTGATTTAAATTAAAGTCATTTACCTGAATATAAAACAATAATTATAAATAACAGGTTTGTATCTTTTACGTGCTACAAGTCAACTGTAAACTTTTTTCTAGAATTGCTCTTATTAGAGCAAACTAAATTATTATTTAAATTATTATTCTTCTTGATCTGCAATGATAATACGCATTAAAAATATATATTAAAATAAAATAATATTTTTTAATATTAGAAATACAGCCAAACACATAATAGTAAAAAATTTAATAAATTGCAAGTTTTTAATAGTGTACAATACAATCCATTGATGGCTAATTTGAGGCTGGCTTATCCCAACCCACATGAGTAATCGCACATATAAGCGCATGTATGTAATTTGTATTCATACGTAACACGACACAATAGCATAATACTGCGGATTTAGATTCGCGGAATAAGTGATTGTCTGCCTTGGTGCACATCGCGCGCTATGTACGAACTTTGGATTACTCGATGTAAGTTTTATATTATGGAAATAACGTGGAGGTCAATTCGTGAGGGAGATCAGGATCAGGATGAACAAGGCCGATGCTGTTTAACGATATTACTGTGAAGATACAATTTGATCCCTGATAAAATTGTGGCACTAACGAGATTGTCATGCTATGCACTTCCGTCAGAGGACATATAAAGCCACACGCATTTCTATCTGCACGCAGAGTGATGTTTGTCCGATTGCAAAATGCAACCACTTGGTGTATTGTTGTTGCTCCTCTCCTGTCAACTTGCTACGCCAAAACCAATTTTTGATAGAGGTTGTATACAGTGAAAACAGTTTACGTTAAATTGATGGGGGAAATATTGAAAAGCTAGTGCAATATTGAGATAAAATTGAATAAATTAAACATAGATTAAATCTTTGAAACAATTAAAGTGGTGTATTATTCTTCTTTGTCCTAAATGCTTCAATTATAATAAAAGGAACAGTGATGTAATAATATCGTGAGATTGAGTGTGTCCAAGTTATTTCACTATAATTATTTCAATATCTTTAGACATATGAAATATTGCTTAATATCAATGAAATTTATGAATACAAAGTCGTTTTTAGTCTTTTAAGTCGTTATGTTAAAATTATACAAATTGAAAGAGTTAGGACAATAATGTAATAAATTGAAATTACTGCTTTTTTGATTACACATAATATATTAACAACCATTCCTATTACTATAAACTTTTGGTATTATATACAATGCAAAAACGCTTATCGCAGATGGTGCAGATTTATTACATAGAGAATATCGATCAGCTGGATTCGGAGAAACAATACGAGATTGGTTCAGAATAATCAAAAATCGAGTCGTGGGAAAATGGCAAGAATGGTTCGGCAACGACGATCCACCAACTCCGAGTTTCTCACCGCAGGATATTTTCAACATTGATAAAACTATAGGAAATCGAGTACCGGGTTATCCAAGTTTATTCTTGGATTTGTGTAAGCAATTTTGATCATGTGAAATTTTAAGTTAGAATACGTAAAATTTCCTTTCAACTCCTTGTTACATCATAAGACTGAAATTCTCATTGAGCTTGAGGATGTTAAATTATGTGTTTATGCTTCGCTACGGAACATAATTGAAAGTATTGTAATTTCAACAATCGTACAGGAAATGCAATTAACATCACATATTCTATTAATTTTTTTTAAGATTATTACAACTGTATAGTCCCAAGCAATTTCTAAATGAGCTTATGATTTAACATTCCTATCTTATCAATTTTTTACGATATTAGCTAGCATATCCTTCGACCCAAAACAAGATTGGGGAGTTCGGATTGGTAATTGGTACATCATCCGGAAAGTTACAGGAAATGATGACGACAGTTCAGATAGCGATTCAGATGAATGGGACATGAGATCTTTGCTACCAAATCTACCATCATTTCCTACATTAGGAATCGATTGGACGCCTAATATACATGAATTTGAGATTCCAAAAACCACGCAACTTCCAATGACTACGCCGAAAATTAAATTGACCACGCCGAAAATTGAATTGACCACGCCGCAACAAACACCTCAAACTAATATTCAGACTGAATCAGTTTTAACTGAGTCTACTGTGATTCTTACCGAACCGATTCCATTTACTACCCAGTTAATTGCAACTTCCACAGAGCCGGTTGTAACATCAACCGAAGAAATTCTAACTTCTACTGAATCGTCTGTAACAAACGATGAATCAGATACGATATCTACTGAATCAATTTTAACATCTACGGAAACAATTCCGGTTTCTATAGAATCAACTGTTCCATCCACTGAGTCTGTAGTGACTTCCACCGAATTAATTACATCATCCACCGACACAACGTTAGATTCTACCGAATCAATTGTAACATCTATCGAATCTGTTGTAACTGTTACTGAATCAATTGAAACATTAACCGAAGAAATTGCAACTAGTACTATCACCGAATTGTCTGATCCAACATCCACTGAAGTAATTTTACCTGTTTTGAATAAGAGAATAGAAGACAACGAAACTGTTAATACACGTACCACAAAAAAGCCTCGTCCAGCATCTGCTGAAGTCATAATGTTTTAAAAACATCACATAAGATTTCATATTTTACATGATTCAATCTTGTTCATTTAACAAATATAAAATTTTAAAATGAACTTATTATGAATACCTTAATACAATTAATTTAATTTGAAAATATTATAAATTTGATAATATTATAAAATAGTATATACTAGGAAAAATTTATAGAAAAAATAATTTACTACAATACAAGAAAATTATTTCAGTATTATTTAAATTTATAGAAAAAGATATATAAGAAAAATTAGAACTTTATAATCAGTTGTTTGATATGGGATTTATGTATTTATATATACATATATATATGTATATATATATATATATATATATATATATATATATATGTATATATAAATTTTGATAATAGCGCGTAAATTTAATATACAAAATAACATTAATTTTATATTACTTTCTTTATAATAATATTAAAATTCGACAATCTAATTTAAAAAAGAAATGCGTACGTTCACTCCGCAAAATTTATTATAATTACAATTCTATTCCATAGTACAATATTATAATAATTTTTACGTCGATGATTGAGGTCTTCATGATAGCTTGTGGTTTTACTGTAATAAAAAAAAATATTTTGTGTCCAAATTAATAGAATATTTAATTTCTTATTTAAATTGTTTTTAGCATGCACACATGTATAATAAATTTTTATAATTTTTTATATACATGTTTACTATACACACAAATTGCTGTAGAAGTATGATATAGTATACACCTTCAATTAACACATAAACACATTAACATAAATCGTTGATTAAATATGAAATATATAACATCCATTAGCATGTAATTAAATATAATTCTATATTCAAATATATTTATTATTTTAAATATCAGTCTTTTTGTATATTTATATGCATATATTTATTTCATATGCATATATATACTTATATAAAATTATATCCATAATTATATATTGCATATATAAAATAAATATATAAAAGAATACATATATGATACAGAATTTTAAAATAAAATTTGTTACTTTGTTAGAATTATAAACAATTATGTTATAATTTTATTTAATTTATCAACATTTTTTTTTACAACTAGAATTAATTCTTTTTATTGAACTAAAAAAAATGTTAGCAATTCAATATTTGATAAGTTTTTTTATTAGTTTTTTGTTATTAGGATAATTGATGTAATATTGATGTGTATTTTAATAATCTCTACAAACTATTATTATTTTGTATGAAGAACCCTTCTATCTTATAATAAAGATTAATGTTAATTTAATTTTTGATATCACAAATAACATATTAAACTTAAGTTTTGAATTAAACAATTAAAAGCAAGCTGCAAAATAAGTATATATAATCAAGACCTGTACTTGCGATGAATTTCTCTAAATCAAAAAAAGCATGAGCAAAAATATGTACATTTATAACATTTAAAGCAAAAATACAGACTTTTATATGAAATTATAATAATATGGACTATACATAGACATATACATTTTTATATATCACACAAATAAAATATTAGAATATTAGAAATATTAGAAAAAAAAATATATATATATATATTAAAATTAATTATTAGCATGCTAATACAAGAATAACAATGAACAAAAGTAATTTGAAACTTAAAGATTTGCATGCTGACCCTGAAGCAAAAAGATATTCCCTCTCCAGAATTATATAGTGCAAATGATGATCTATTTCCTTCCCTAGAATGTGAATAATAAATATATACTACTATAGCATGCATAATATAAAAAACCAAAGAAAATTTTATTTTTTGGAATTTGCTCATGGTTAACTGTTATTAAATTACATCACCAACAAAAAATGTTTCATTTTGCCATTTATATTTCTTCAAAATATATGTATATATATATATAACTATTTTATGCAAAATCTGAATACTATAAGGATATAAAAAAAAGTAACTTAAACTAATTTAACTTTTGAAATCTTGAATGAAAACTTTAAATAATATATGTATTTTTATCAATAAAGTTAATTATTCAATGTATTAACAATTTAATTATTAGTTATATAAAATTTATATAAAGAAAATTTCATGAATATACATCAATTTTCTCTTACTAAATGCAATAATTTAGCTATTCGAATTATTTGAATAAAATATAAAAAAGATTCTTAAACGAGATGAGATATGATTAAAGCTGATTATAATTTTGACATAACAAAGCCAAAGCCCCTATCATTTGAAAGAATCATTGTTTTAACATGCATAAGATAAGTTTATATCAAGGTTTAATAATAAGAGAAAGAGATAAATAAGATTTTTCTAAAAAATTATAACATTAACATATTCAGGTAATAAAGATATATGTTTACAACAAACATATTTTACATTAACCGACTTACCTTCTTAGATGCTGCTCCAACTTTACTCTTCTTAGTACCTCTAACTTTCTTCATTCTATTCTTGCGTTCCTTACGCTGTTTCCTGGTTTGTTTTTGTTTTTCAAAAAGACCATGTCTCGCTAACCTGTATTTGGGCTCAAACTTCTTGGCAAAGTCCAAAGTATCATAAATGAGTGCAAATCCAGTAGATTTACCACCGCCAAAGTTAGTTTGGAAGCCAAACACAAAGACAACATCTGGAGTTACTTTGTACATTTTGGCTAATTTTTCGCGTATTTCGGTTTTACGAACCGATGGTTGGCCAGGATGGATTACATCTACGACCTATAATGCAAAAGATACATATATGTATACATAAATTTGAACATATAACATTTGCATATCATCACTCAAGAGGTGATAAAGATTACAAATAGTGTTGTACACTCACCATTTGTTTTCGGCATAGAAGCCGATTGGTCATAAACTTTCTTGTTCTGATGGTAGCTGTACCTTCCGTCTGTAATCGAGAATCAAAACAGGACAATAAGTTTGGTTATTCATTGTTGAAGATCAGTATATTCATAGATATATGGGGAAATGCTGCAAATTTTATTGACAAACAATATAAAATATTCCAACTAATGTAGTTTCCTCTATTATTAGATAAGACGGTTAAAAAAATTATAAGTAACTATATTCACACATTAATAAGGTTATGTGTCATGGTGCACATTTACTGTTAATGATTTTATAATTAGTACTTTTCAAACATTATATATATAACACATACTTTATTAGATGCCATTTTCGAATATTTAATTAAACACTACACGTTTCGTTATACGATTACTGCAAAATCCATCGATATAAATTACATACCATCTTGCTCAGCTAATGTATCGCTTGAAAAAGGCATACACGGAAATGTATACCGCCATCTATGACAACATGACACCGACACACATCCGCTAATTTAAACAACTTTATTGTTTATAAATATTTATATTTGATATATTATCAAAATAACTTATATTTATTATTTTCATATTTTCGAAATGAAAAGCGACTAGAAATCTAATTTACATTATATTACCATATAATTAGTTGAATTGGTATACCAGGAATATTTTGAGTAATTATACAAAATAATAAATTTATAAAAAACAAAACTCTTTATATAATATAACGATATATGTAAAATAATACGATAATATTTCTTTTCTCTTCGATATCTCTTATATTTATTATTATATACATTCTGTATAAGAAATAAATTCGCTTAAATATATAATCGAGATTTTGAAAATAAACAATCTTTATCATAAAAACACGAAAAAAATAAACAACAAAATGCGTAGATATATGTTTTTTTTACATCCAATCAAATATAAAAATTTTTCTTTCTCTTCGAGTTTCAATTATAAAACTGGCTTACCGACAGAGTGATCGAAACGACGAGTTTCTCAAAGAGACCAACCTCGTACGGGTGGCGTTACCGTCGACAGCATGTCGGCAGCTGATTGGCGCTCGGTTAACGTCGGGCCACTGCTTCTCTAGGAAGTTTCGAGAACGGATACGAAGTAATATTGGTAGAAGACGTGGTCGCTTAGCACGGTTCAGTTCGTGAGACGTTATCATCGCATAGCTACGGACGAGAGAACGAACATCGTGTGAAACGTGCGCGGTCATCCTTCATCGACTCTCGTCTCGCCGTTTACGCAGGTAAGCCCTCGCGCGACTACGTGGATTTCGCGTTTTTTCAACGGGAGATTCGGGGACGGCTCGCGGACGAGCACGAACAGGCCGCCAGAGTCGCGCGATCGATCAGTAGCCTTTTGCAATTTTTCCTCCGAGCAGTCTCGACGTTGGCGTTTACACAAGGCGTAGACTCGTCTAAAACTTTTCGGAGTCGCGGCCGCCACTGTCATCGTGCACAGTTCCGTCGCGATTTCTTTCCATTTATTTCGCGTAACCGATACTCCGAAACCAACGGAGGGGGCTCAGCGGGCGGCCGAAGGTTGCGATATATTTGCTCGTGCATACGAGCGTGAACATTCAACATAACGAGACATTACGAATCGTCGAGTCGATCGCTAGGCGAGTAGCATCTGCATTGTAATAACGGGAGGTGTAGGAAACGAAAAAAACGGTAGTGTTGGCGAGTCGAGTGTTAGCTCGCCCCTACCTGGCTCGTGTCGATTAACAACGCGACGAAGCATTCGCCGAGAGAGAAAGAGGAAGAGAAAACCGTTTATCATTCCCGCGCACCAAGCCAGGCGCACGTTTTTTCTCGCGATAGCATAAACGCGTTCATTTGGCCAGGTAGAAATTTCGTCAGGCTACTTGGCAATCGCCGCACGCTTCATTATACCGTATTAATTCCGTTGCTCAGCTTGCACGCTCGACGAACTTACACAATAGCAGAAGGATCTAGAAAGATTGTAAAGACTCTCTTTGTTCGGCAAGCGGCCACGATGCGCGCCACGCCACAAATCCGCCTTTTAATTTCTTTCTTCGTCCGCTGATCTATTTAATCGTGTATTCTCAGCATTTCGACGCCATTTTGAAACTCGTCGCATGGGCATTATATTTCTAGAATTTGTAGGCAAATGTAGTTTTAATGTTTTTTAATATTCTCCACGAATGGCGCAAAAACATTTTTACACAATCTTAGAAAAAAAAAATTTGGGTGAGATTAAAAAAAATTATCGATATTTTAATAATACTCCAATTTTTATACATCTTCGATATTTTTATTCGATATAACAGAAATGAAAATTAAAATGATTGAATGGAAAATTTAATTTTGTCAGAGTTTTTTTATGCCTCTTGTAAGTTTTCGCACGTTTAATAGAAATAGATTTAAATGTGTTTCAAATGTACTTGATTTCACTTGGAAAAGCATTCCTGGCGCGTGTTCAATAAATTTTAAATAATAACTTAAATATAATTAAAAGATAGCTTAAATTTTTTTTATTATTTGCTATATAAATATTCATATAATTGATTCATGGTTGTGTTATGTGTTTATCGTGATGTGACCATATTTCAATTTGTATGTGTCATGCAAGCTTTGGCATATGTAATTATATAACATTACAAAAAAAGCAATGACTTGGATTGAAAGAGACAGAGAGAAGAATATATGAATTAATTAAGAACTAACTTGGCTGCATACTTGTGCTGTTTTTGGTCACACGTTTATGAATTATATTGCGCTATTGCAATACTTATCTTATTTTTTCATCAATATGACGAACAGGATATATATATAGTCGTTATACATAATAGTCTGCTTTGCGATATCATTTTATCACATTATATAGTTGGTTATGAAATACTTGTATTTAAAGCTTTAACAATTTGCCATTCCTTATTTAAAAAAAAATATTTGAAGCATTTTTTGAAATAAAAAGTTGTTAACTTATCGTGTATATCAAGTTATGAATGCAATACTTATCTTATTTTTTCATCAATATGACGAACAGGATATATATATAGTCGTTATACATAATAGTCTGCTTTACGATATCATTTTATCACATTATATAGTTGGTTATGAAATACTTGTATTTAAAGCTTTAACAATTTGCCATTCCTTATTTAAAAAAAAATATTTGAAGCATTTTTTGAAATAAAAAGTTGTTAACTTATCGTGTATATCAAGTTATATCAAGTATCAGTGGTATTTAACATTAATTAAAAATTAGGAGAATTTATTGTAATATGTCTTTTTTTTACTTTTATCAACAGAAGTGAGTTTATTGAACTACAAATTACTTAACGAGCAGCGAAAATGGTTAAGGAGACTACATTTTATGACGTGTTGGGCGTAAAGCCTGGATGTACACAAGAAGATTTAAAGAAGGCCTATAGAAAACTTGCTTTGAAATATCATCCCGATAAGAATCCTAATGAGGGTGAAAAGGTTTGTTCTCCACTATGAATTTAATATTTACCAACTATGTATGTTACGTGTGATAAAATTTAAGATTTGCTAAATATTGCATATATTTTAGTTTAAGCAAATTTCTCAAGCATACGAGGTATTGTCAAACCCTGAGAAGAAGCGTATCTATGATCAAGGTGGCGAGCAAGCTTTGAAAGAAGGTGGTATGGGTAATAGTGGCTTCTCATCACCTATGGATATCTTTGACATGTTCTTTGGTGGAGGATTTGGTGGACGAAGTAGAGGAAGAGGTAGAGAACGCAAAGGTCAAGATGTCATGCATCAATTATCAGTTTCCTTGGAGGAACTTTACAAGGGAACTGTACGTAAACTTGCTTTGCAAAAGAATGTCATCTGTGAGAAATGTGAAGGCAAGTATATAGAAATTATATAGAAATAGTAATTGTACAAAAATTTATCAGTCAAGATGGTTTTCATAATTTTCTGATTAGGTGTCGGTGGAAAGAAGGGTTCTGTTGAGCAATGTACGACGTGTCATGGTTCTGGTTTGCAAGTACAAATCCAGCAATTAGGTCCAGGAATGCTGCAACACTTACAAACCATGTGTTCAGACTGTAAAGGTCAGGGTGAACGTATCAATCCTCGTGATCGTTGCAAGCATTGCAATGGAAGAAAGACTATTAGAGATAGAAAAATCCTCGAAGTCCATGTTGATCCAGGCATGGTAGATGGGCAAAAGATTGTTTTCACTGGCGAAGGTGATCAAGAACCAGATTTAGAACCTGGTGACATAGTTATTCTTCTGGAAGAAAAGGAACACGAAGTATTCAAGTTAGTATTACTACGATGAAATAATTTTATTTTGCAATTTATTTATCAATGTAATTAATCATTCTACTAACAACTATCGCGATAAATTATTTTTCAGGCGTTCAAGAAACGATTTGATCATGCGGATGCAACTAGAATTAGTAGAAGCGTTATGTGGATTCCAGAAAGTTATCCGTACTTTGGATGGTAGAGATTTAGTGATAACTTCTTATCCTGGTACTATAACAAAACATGGAGATTTGAAGTGCATCTTGAACGAGGGCATGCCAATTTACAAGGATCCATTTACACACGGTAGGCTCATAATACAATTCATAGTCAATTTTCCAAAGAGCATAGAACCGTCGGTTATTCCAACGCTGGAGCAATGCCTACCACCGAGAGATGAGGTTATAATTCCGGACAACGCCGAAGAATGCTTGCTCACTGACTTAGATCCTGAGCAGGAGCAGAGGCGGAGAGATACAAGACAGGCGTACGAGGAGGACGAAGGAGGTCCATCGCGAGTCCAATGTGCCACACATTAATTTGATTACATTAACCTTGTAAACATAGCCATTTTTTTCATTTCGAACTTTCTGTCCCATTCGCTCGATTCCGCGTATCATATTAAAGAAAGAAATAACATAGTTGAATATATAGGGAAACTATGCAATATGCAAAAATGAATTTGAAACAATTCATGTCCGGATGCGCGCAAAACTGTGAATATACTACAGTTATTGATTTTTCAATAAGATCTTTATGCGATAATTAGGCATTGCGACTGAATAGATGGATTATTACCTGATAATAAAAGGTAAATTCTTATTATTATTATAATGGAAATAAATTGAAAGTAATTTTAAATTGTGGCGAAGCATCTTAATGAGATCTATCAGTTTCGCTTAAATAGAGGATCATTAAAAGTATGTACTTATCATTACACAGTGATAAGGAAATTTATTTAGTAATCTAACGTAACAATTTTATGATGTCAATCCTGAATTACAAGCTGTAATTACATGTATCTTCAAGTATCATTATTAATCTTCACTAATTGACCAGTTTTATTGTTCCAATAATTAACAGCTCAGTAGCGACTGATTGCTACGTAGACAACAATATACTAGAATTGAAAAATTCACATACATATATTTAGTTCAAAATTGTTCGTGAATTATTCGTGTATATGATTACTTTTGGTCCTCTAAATACTAATAGCAGCATTTGATTATTCCACAACATTTTGGACGGTTTAAAAATGTTTATTTTTTACAGTTTTTTTAGAACTTGTAAAAGTAATATTGAAATGTGTCAATCGATGTGCTAACAAATTTTTAAAATATCTAGGTAAAGCGCGGGATAATATAACATCTGTATCAGAGGTCTTCGAAAGGTGAAACATTATTCCATATTCATAGTATATTTAATTTTTTTCCAATCGCTTTTGTATACTGGCGTGTGACGATAATAACGGAAATACAATTTTGTTTGCGAATAATGCAAATAAAACGGAAAATCAGGTTCCTGTGTGTGTGTATGTGTGGACGATTGCGCGTATTTATAAGCAGCTGTGCAATTATACGCTATTGGATCTAATAATTCATTTCTTTACATTAGCCTATGCTAAGATTTTATTGCATATCCTTATGATAAAATCGATGGTTGTAAAATTAGGAAATTTTGAAAATTCACGTAATAATCTTTTATATAATAAGTCCATATTCATTTCTATAAAAATTTATTCCGTTATTTTTCTCTAACTCCATCAGCGCGCATGAACAAATGCTCTAGACAATTTTGAAATCCTATTGTACTATATTAAATTAATATACTTTCGAAACACATACCGCCCCTCCTCACATTCACATAATTTACTGTATACATGGTCGTGTACTCGCAGTTACTATAGTGAATTTTACTAAATAGCCACATATGTCTCTTGTAATCTTATTTATTATAGGAAAAATTGGTGATCGATTAGTACTTTTTTTTGAACATCTTAAATAAATTCGAAACTGTAAAATGTAGGAAATTTTCGACTTTACCTCTTTGCGAAATCTGTGAATCCTGTATTTTCCATTATATCCGACTATACACATTTGTCCCGTGAATTTTCCTAAATTTCCTGTATTCATTAACTAGCGCAATTGCACGTAATGTGTTGCATTATTTAACTTTCGATCAATTTTGTTAATGCCAGTAAAGTTTTGGATCATCTCTTTTTAGTTTTAGAAGAAGATGAATAAGTGATTAAAGCGAGTTCCAAATTAAATTTGACGACAAGAGTTAGAATCTTTATATTTTATTAACTTTTTATAAATATTTGTGAAAAAAAATAATGAAAAATAAGAATGTGGAGCAACGTTTTAATATTTCCAGTACATATAACCGATTACATATCGATGAATAATTATAGCTTTATAAATCTCTGATTACTCGCTAATCCTATTTAATCCTTGCAAGTATTTATAGATCTAACTCGCGTGAAATGTCACGCGCATTTAATTTAATTATTATTATAACGCCGCTTTTGGATCGGAGAATGCGATAGATTCGAGAATGGCTTACTCGAGAGATGAAAATTGAGCGATTTCAACGAGAAAAAGAGAGGGAGAGGAGAAGGGAAGAAAATGAGATTTATAAGCTCGTAAACGCGACCGCGAAATTAACGCGCGCATTCGCCGATAGATAGGGGCACCGTCGCCGCGGCGCGTGTCGCGGGCCAATGTTTTTAGCGATGTACTTAGTGACGTGCGAGTGGCCTCGAGAGACTGCCGTCGCAGAGGTTTCTGGGTATGCGGTGGGAGCCATATTTTTCCAATATCAGTTACGCGAAAAACAGCGTAGCGTACGGCGGATCATCCGGCGGGCATGGCATTTCGATCGGCGGTGCCGCGCGTTGTCCGTGTCAGCCGGTGGTGAGTGATCGCGCGCGCGTCAATCGCAAGGACAACGAACGCAGTGCGACGCGCGAGCGTCGGAGCGTCGCGCGCGACCATCGCTCGTCGCAAAATAATACATAATAATAATCGAGCGCGCGAGCGAGACGCGAGAGAAACGGAGTAGCGCGGAGCGCGCAGGTGTTTGGCTCGACAAGAGGGTTAGTTAACTCGACCCGAGTTCGCAAACGCGCTGGTAGTAGTGATGATGGTGGTGGTAGTAGAAGAGTAATAGTGGTCGTTGGTAGTGGTGGCCGCGGCACGAGGCAGTGGTAATGGTGGTGGTGGTAAAAGAGTGGTGGTGGTCGTGATGCTGCTGCTGCTGCTGCTGTGACGATGACACAGCGTCATAACACGACGTTCGTCCGTCCGTGCGCGATTTAACCCGAATCGTTACGCCGCCGGTGTTTTTTTTTTCTCCTCTCGAGCGCGTTCGCGCCATATTACCGATCGAGCGCCGACTCGAGACGACTCGAGCCGACTCGTCCCGCGACTCGGCGCGATTAAACCGCAGTCAGTGCCGAGGGAGATGGCTCGTCGTCCGGCCGCGACATCGCGAGGCTCGCGGGATCCAGGTTTCTCGTAACGCGCGACGTTTTCTTCGCTCCCGGCGACCAAGTGCGGCGTACACAAGTGCGAATCATCGCGGCGTCATTGACACGACCTCGCGGTGCGTCGACTCTCGTAAAGTGAGGTGCGCGAATTAACATCCAGTCGGACTTTCGGGTTCGATTGAACCGCGACGCAGGTGCGCGCCGATGCGCGCGCGAAGCGACGTGAAGTGCGACGCGGGTGTGCGATAACGTGGAATCTCGCTCCGTCGGGTGGGTGGCGCGGACCGTCACCTTGAGTCGCTCGAGCGAGACCTTGCGTTCTCCTCTCTTCACTCGCGGAGGACGCGGCTCGCGCCTACGCGCCGGCTGACGACGAGTTTCGAGCGAACTTGGCAGCGGCAGTCGCGACCTTCGGAAACGAACATGCCGCGGAACGATTCGCGACGCACATTCGCGACGCGGCAAAAGGATTCGGCGCCGCGGGCCCGCCGTTTTTGAGAGAGGAAGCCGGCCGACCCCGATGGCGGCATCTCGAATCGCGTTCGCGTTCGCGTGTGTCGACGTATCGCTCGGAGCCGCGACATTTTGACGAGCGTGCATCCATCTTCGTGGGAAGGAGGAGGAACGAGAGAAGATAAGCAGCGAGCCGAGCGGGAGGAAAACGGTCGTCGGCGCGTCTCGCGCCATGCACGGCGATCCCCGCCGCGTCAAGGAGGTTAGACGGCCATTGACCGGCGAGCACCGGCAGCGCGTACTACGCGCGGCGAACACGCGCCGGCTTTGAGTTACGATCGCTCCGAATCGGAGCCGCGCGAATCGCGTGTTATGTCGCGCTACGCGCGAGACAAGGGCGAACCATCGGCAACGTCGTCGTCGTCGTCGAGCGCGTGAGGATCGCGCCCCCGGAGGATGCGGCAGGACCCGTCGCGAGCTACGTGCCACGTTGTGCCAGGGATGTTGTCGTGGGGGTCGTCGGGGTCATCCGCAGCGCTGCTGGACCTGGACCATGGCCGGCAAGCCTGAGCAGCCGTCCACGCTCCCTGCTCCCCCGAGTCACGGCCATCAGCATCACCAGCAACAACAACAACCGCAGCAATCGCCGCATCAATCGCAGCAGCAGCAGCACCAAGGTATACAGCAAAACAGCGTCCTAGTGTACGTGTCGGGGGAGAACTTGGCGTACGCCACGGCGGTGGGTCAGAATGTCGCCGCGACCGCTGCTGCCGCTATCGCGGTCGGTTATCAGTCGCAACCGCAGCAGCAGACGACGACGCAATACGCCAACATCTTGCAGGCGCCGCAGGTGGCGACGGCGCAGGCGGCCGCGACGACCTTTCCCGCCAAAACCGCCGTATACCGCGCCGACGGAGGAAACGTCCCCGCCCCCGCGATCGGCTGTTGCCGTCTGAAACCGTCCCTCGAGACGACGATGACGATGACGACGGCGACGGCGACGACGACGGCGGCGACCACGGTCAATAGCAGCGCGGACGGCGGCGAGGCCAAGCGAGCCTCTTCCCTCGGGATGGTCGGCAACGACGAAGACGACGAGGACTACGCGATGCTGTATCGACAGGCCACGCTGGGCCACGCGACCTGCACCACGCCGGCGATGACGACCATGATGACGTCGCGCGAGAACAAGCGAGCGTCCGAGAGCGAAGACTCGACGACGGACGGTCTCGGCAACGACCTCGTGGGACCCGGCGCCAACGCGTATCAGGCGCGACTCCAGCACGGCGACGTGTACTCGGCGAGGATGAGCAGCGAGACGTATAACGCCACGACGGCGAGTAGAATCGTCGCGCGACCGAACCCCGGTGACGTAGGACTCCTCGGCGACGACGGTTGCGTCGCGTACGGTACGTCGACGTCCGCCGAGCAACAGGCCGTGGACGACAAGGCCCGGCAGCGGGACAATTTCGATAATCAGCAGACCGCTTCCTCGGTCTCGTCGGCGTCGAGCGCGACGGTTCGCGGGCTCGGTGATATCGGTAGTGGTGCGGTGATCGGTGCTTGCGACTCGATACGATCCGACGAATCGTCGACGACTTACAGCAGCCTCAGCAGCCCTGACGAGAGTCAGAGTCATCAGCAGCCGATGGGACAGCACGACGGTGTTTTGCCGGCGAGTAACAATCATCCCGGAGGTGGTAGTGCGTGCGCGCAGCAGGCTGCGCGCCAGCAGCCGCCGTTGCGTGTCAACGCTACGAACAATAACGGTAGTAACGGTGTGCAGCATAATGCGCTCGTGTTGACAATGAACGGCAGTGCGGTGATTACGCAGCAGCAACAGCAACAACAGTCGCCGGCGATCACTGTGCCACGTGGATGGAAAAGGATATGCACCAACGGGGTCATCATTTACATCAGGTAACTTTTTTTAACGCTATCTTATTCAAGGCGACGTCATTGCGCGAAACGAATTAAAAGGAACGGTCATAACGCGTTTACCTCTTTGCGGATATATATTTCATATATAGAATTATATTTCATTTATTTCGCGAAAGAGAAATGTCTTGCAATTTTTCTTTCCCGTCTCGTTAAATTATAAGTGCGAAATGTGGCGCCGATTTCTTGGAACGAGAAACATGTCTTTGGGTTTCCATTTTTCCGTTTCACGAAAATGACTCGAAGGTATAAAGTTAAATGGGCCGTATTAGCGGACGCTTTTAATTCGTCTCGACTTAACGGAATGACTCGCCGACTCGAAGCATCGACCCGAAATTAAAGCGCGTACCGCGTGTAACTTTAATTTCGCTTATGGAATTAAACTACATTCACTTTAAATGTACTAGCAAGAGCGGGTGGGTTATATTTCTATCGAAACCGGCGTAATTGCTGTATACTGCGAACATTGATTGATTTACAAAACTTGAAATCATTTATTATACATGCAACTTGATTCTCGGCAACATGAAACGCTTTAATGTCAATTTATCAAAACTGGTGTTTTGCGGGTTAACCATTTTAGTACGAAATTGTTCAATCTCATCGAATTCCTATATTTTCGATATCATAATCGAATACGATTTATTTATTCATAACGATTCACGTGAGCTATACTCTTTTTAATATCTATAATATAGCAAACCGAGCAAATGAAATTACGACGATCTCAATCATCGTTTTCTTACCGTATTGTTACCGGCGATCGATTGAAACGCGGAAAATTCCGAACGGAAGCGATATATTATTTATTTCATTTCACGTTTACACGCGACGCCTCGAAAATAGCGCATATTGTTTCGAGAAAGCCGGCAGCGCGCGCGCGCGCACAATTATCTAAATTTAGGCCAGTCAGCTGTTTGAAGAGATCTTGAAAAGGCCGCAACGTTTTTTCTTCCAAAAGTCTTTTCGACTTTTTGTAATCCGATAAAAAAAACACACACTTTTCTCAGAGCCAGAAGTTCGACATCCTGTCCCTCTTTCCCTTCATCGCGTGGCAAGCGCAGCCTTCCTACCTAACTCATTGTACTTTTATGGTTCCTTTGTAAAATCTGTTCAAGGGTCACTTTCATCTTCCGTCGTTGTTCCAATTCTTTTTCTTTTTCTTGATCGAGATGCGATATATTCTGCACAGTTTCAGTCAGTTTACGAAGAATGCAAATGTTTGTTCTAAAAGTACACAATAGAAAAAATCTGTATGGCATTAATGTCATTTAGTAGAGATACTGATGTGGTGTTTGAAAATTTTTCTCTTCAAACACAACATGATATTTCGTCGCCGTTGTTTTGCATTGTACAAAGTTAATATATAATTAAATTACAAAATAATGTGAGATTAATTTTTTGTAAAAAAATTTTAAAAGAAAAATTAATAGAAGAATCAGATGAATACACATGCACACACATAAAATTACTGTAATAATATAGTTAATTGATTTTCTAAATTTTAAAAGATATTTTTCCAAACGATATTTCAACATAATTATGAATTTAAATCTATTGCAGAATCAAAGGTATCGAGTATATTTCGAAACTCATCGACTCATTCTTAGCCATTAAAATATTTATCCATTTAAGTGTTAAATCTTTCTGATATTTTCAAATCTCTAACGTGTCGCGTTATATACCAAGATTGAGAAGATTTTCCTCGAGGGGGAGGCATGATTGGTAAACAGGTTTATCCTCGACGATCGCGTAATATGATTTAGAGGATCAGCTGCGAGAAGCGGCAACCTTCGCCTTTGTGAGGCGGAAAGGCGGCTGATTCTTGGGAGTCAGCGCGAGAAGCGGAAAGGGCAACGCCTCGTGGCGTAACCGTAGAGCTGCAGCGTAGGAGATCTGACCTGTTCTGTCTGTCCTAAAACCTCCTCGTTAAAACGATCCTTTCCGGGTAGGCAGAAGTCACGCTTTAAAAAACGTTTAAAGGGCCCGAACAAACAATGCTTAGCCTTAAACGAATCCGATTGTGTGTGCGTGTGGCTCCGACTTTTTTTTCGGTCCATCGTATCTCTCTCCGGACTGAATTAGCGAATCGCGCGGTCACTCTTTAGTTCGCTCGAGATAGTACGTGAATTTTTTTGCGGCCTTTTTTCAATTATTTTCAATTATTTTCGTATCATATAAGGTAAATTAAAATATGTAAATGCGCGAATGAAACTTGACACATAAATTTGAGAAAATAAAGTCGCATAAATAAATAATTTTACGTCTATATTAAAATTACATATATATGCAAATACAAAATTTTTAAGAAAAATTATACGCAGTCATAAAAGTATCAAAAGTAATAAAAAAATACATTTTGTTTAATTAAATTAAATCGGCAACAAAATTAATTTTAAATTAATTGAAAACCTTGCAATTGAACGTTGAATACTTTGCATATGTAATCTATAGATTAAGTAGAAATCTGCGATTGATTTTTTGGCATTTTGTTGCTCGCGGAGGATAGCTTTTACGAGATTTCTTAGCGTCATCGATTTCGTCGAAGAAGACTATCGTAAGATGGTGAAAGAGGGATGGATGGGAAAGGACCAACGGGTTTTCTCGTGTACAGGAAGCGAAGGAAGGGGAGTGTATAAGCAGGAAGGGACGAGGAATTTCGTTGAATCGCGCGCGCTGCTCGTGCGATCATTGATTTACGGTGGTACCTCGTAAATACCGACGGTGATGTACGATCGTGACCGCACACACGAGTTTTGCTGTCCTTTTCTCCTTCTTCCTGCTAGGCGAGTCTTCTCTCTTTCTTTGCCATCGACATTTCCTTTATGGAACGCACGGGCTTCTTGATTTATAATATGTATCGGTCCCTTGTCTCTCTCTCTCTTTCTCTCTCTCTCTCTCTCTCTCTCTCTTTCTCTGCGTATATACCTCCTAGAGAATATCTGAGACTTTTACCTCACCGTCCAGGCCTTCTATCATGCCACTCGTCCCTTAACTTCACCGACCGCGACGAATTTTTTTTCCTTTTTGTCTCATTTGCGTCCTTTTTCGCTTCTCTTTTTTTTTACCACAGGATCTTGATCTGTTTGGGTCGGTCTTTTGAATATATAGACTGGTCACCTGGAACGAAATAATAATTGTTATTTTCATTGAATTCTTTGACCTGTTATGTTCGGTCCAATTCTTCTTTTACGAATACAAGGAAGAACGTGAGATTTAAAATTGTGAAAATATAATCAAAGTATTTGGAATTGCTATTATTTTGCCAAATTCTGAATATGTTAGTATATTTTAATGCAGTTCCAAATACTTTAATTACATTTAACAATAATAATAATAACTGCTGTTGCTAAATATAACGCTTTGAAGTATGATTACATCAGAGTTCAAGTCAATTCTAATAAAAATATAATGTTTCTAGTATAAGAAAAAAAGCATTGAATAAAATCTGTGTGAATACCATTGTCTGGTTTATGAAGTTAAAATTTTGACATTAATATTAAAAAATCATATAAACTAATAGTACAAATATCAAAATCTCTTAAATTTAATTAATATTTAATATATAAAATGCAAAATTAAAAACTTTTTATTCAATTTACAAATTAATTTTTTAATGAATTTTATCTCATATATATATTGTTTGTCTTTTACAATAATCCATTAATGTTTTTGTGACTACTAGTTTATAATCATTAAAAATAATCAAATCATCAAACAATCAAATAATCATTAAAATTCAATTAATTTTTTTATCTTTATCGATTTGTAATAATTGTTATATTAAATAATGATATCATAATTATATAATATTTTTTTATGTGAGCACTTGTGTGCCGCTAAATGATATCAATGCGTTGCGTAACACTATTACTCGGCGGAACACGTGCAAACGAACGGAAGGTTAAAACTCGTGATCGGATCCGTTGTCGGCGGACATTTCGAACGAATGGCAATCGGACCATTATGGTCGGTAGCTGGCTTCTAACAACGGATACCACTCGGCCAATTCCTTTTACGAATTTCTACACGATTCTGGCGTAACTCGTTGGCTTGCGTAATGACAGTTGATCCGCTACGCGCGCGCTTCGTAATCCTATTCTAGTACGATCATGATTCGCGTTACGATAAGATTCAATACAAGTTGAGATAAATCTTAATTTTTATGCGGGCTTTTTTAAATCCAATGAGCGTATGATTAAAGCAAGCTTCAAATTGAATTAAAATTTAAATACATATATACACATTGTATATTTATTTATCTTCCCTAAATTAGCTAATAAAATTATCTTTATATCATATTTTGGAAAATTAAAGTACTCTTTTGATATACTTTTTTCATTCGAAAAAATTTTTTCATCGATTAATTTTGAAAACAGGTGCAATTGAGATAATTGGATAATTGATAAAATATAAAATGCAACATTATTTTTTTATAAGTGAATAAATAGTACAATATGTAACACAAATCGTGCTTTACTTGCACTTTGAATCAATTGAGATAGAAGAAAAGAAGCGGAGAATTAGATCGCATTAGCAGAGAATTAAAATTATTGGCACGCATGATTGAAGTCGCGGGATGATTGGCGCCAAATGGAAGGGATGAGAGAGACGAGAGGAGGAATCGGTGGGATCCGAGGGGGTTTCGGGAGGATAAGAGTGGCGGGAGGCAGAGAGCAGAGCAGAATGAGCGATAGTTGCGCAACCACACCTCTACCGCCGCCGAGCGGCGATTACGCAAACGTGATAATTAATTGCCAGTGTTCTCTGTTTAATGACTCGTCAAGTCGTTCGCTAAACACGCCAAATTGCCGCGACGTCACGAAAATCGCTATACAGGTGCATCGTTGCGTGTCGAAACTGTTAATCCGATGTCGCGGCTTTGCGTAACCGTGGAACTCTTTTTATCATCGTCACCGCGACGTTTTCTCAGTTGTCCTCGAAAGCGATGCTTTCGAGAATTATGTACAATCTGCAACGCG